TAGGGTTTAGGGCTTAGAGTTTAGGGTTTAGGGTTTAGGGTTTAGGGTTTAGAGCTTAGGGCTTAGGGCTTAGGGGTTTAGGGTTTAGGGTTTAGGGTTTAGGGCTTAGGGTGTAGGGTTAAATTTACAGGGGGCTTAGGGTTGTTTACCATAAAGTTTAGGGGTTTCAGTGCTTATAGAGTTTTTGGGGCTCTGGGCTGCTAGGGCTTATAGGGTTGAGGGTTTAGGGCTTCGAAGGTTTAACGAGCGTTTAGGGCTTAGGGTCTAGGGTTGAATCCCAGAAAGTTGGAACATGACTTTGCGTTGATTTGTGCTCGGATCCGTTATGATTTACCTTCAGGGCATACTCTAGGGTTGCAGTTGTTTTGTTGTTGTTGTCGGGTTCCTTTACCCTAAACCCCAAACCCCCCTAAACCCTAAACCCTAAACCCTAAACCCTAAACCCTAAACCCTAATACCCTAAACCCTAAACCCCAAAACCCGAAACCCGAGGATCCTTTCAGGCTTCAAGAGTTACTCGAAGGGTTTAGGGCCCAGGGGCCTAGGTAGGGTTTAAGGGGTCTCAGAGTCTCAACGGCTCTCCTTTTAAAGCCTACTAAACTTTAAAACTCTAAACTTCACATTATGGTTTATAGCCTAAACCCTAAACTTTAAGCCCTAAACCCTAAACTGTAAGCCCTAAACCCTAAACTTTAAGCCCTAAACCCTGAACCTTAAACGGCTCCTTTAAAGGTCTTAGGGTTCTTTAGGGTCTCGGAGGCTCCAAGGGTTCCATCTCTGAAAGGGTTCCTTTTAGGGTTGCTGGGTTCTGGTTAAAGGATTTTATTTAAGTTATCACAATAGGTATCTATAGTAAATTATATGGTTTCCTTAGAAGGGTAACTTAAATTACTTAAATCCCTTAACAAGAACCCGGATTTCGGGGTTTCATTTGGAAGGGTTCCTGTCAGGGTTACCACATAGGATGGGTTGAGGGTTTGCTGTTGAAGGGTTCCTCTAGTGTCGACGAAATCGACAGTGGCAGGTCACAACTGTATAACTCATGTGCTCTTTCCCGCTTGAGCCATGAATGTCAGATCCCCATGTTTTGGGAAAAGTGGTGTTACCAGAACTGCACAACGGAATTCACACCGGTCACACTTTGTGTTCCCAAAACATTAAATGCATCGTTTGATGCACTCGTTCCCCACGTTCGATTGCCTTGCGTTGCAAGGCGGTCCCCTCTTCGACGATCGACCACCTTCCCTTGTCCATCACGTAGCGAAGGTAGGCTGCTGGGTGACTCTTGGTCAAGGGATCGGCGATCATCGCCCTCGTATCAATCCAGCGGATGGTTCCGCTGGTTTCCAAGAGGTCGGCCTTGATGACCGCAAGATCGATTGCGGTCCTCTTATCGCTGATGTAAGCAGTGGTGCTCGTACACTTGTTTGCCGCATCGTAGAGGCTCTTCGAGTCAACGGCTGCCAGAAATGGAATATGCCGGGACTCTTCCCGCCACCTTTCGGTGGAAAGCATCCCGTAGAAGGCCTCCAGGAACATCAACCGGTGCCAGTGGATCGAACCGATCCCTGCTTGTAGTGCTTGACCCTCGGCAGCCAGGGTGTCAACCGTCTTTCTTTTGAGACGAAAGCTCCTCCACGCCGCCAATGTAGTAGCCGCTTGTTGATGTCCTTCTGCCAGGCCCTTGTCATGGTAAAGGATGATCTGGCCGCCTTGGCTGCTTAGGTTCTGCAGCTGCTGAAGACTGGAATGGATTTTGGTAGCGCCTGGCTCCTCGCTGGAGCTCTTACGGAAGCGAGTTCGACCCAGCCACGAATCCTCGTGGAGGACTCGAATCCCCTTGTCGTCGGTCCAGTCGTCCTCAGCAACTCGCGGTTGGATCCCAGTTCCGGCCTGGTCGAGGTAGTACTCGGTGACTCGGGCCGGCACAATCTCGTGCAAGTCCGGGCCTCCTTGGGCCGCTCCAGGATGAAAAGTCGTTCGCCGTGGCATCCGGTGATGACGAATCCATTCGGTAGGAGTTTCTTCCCAAAAGTCCTCTTCCGAAGTTTCTATCCAGATCTGGTCTTTGGAGTTTCCCCAGGCAGCATCGGTCACGACTGAAACTCGTAGGTCCTGCCAAGGAATGGGCATCACCTTGATGCCGAGCTGCGCGTGCTGGATGGCCTCCTCAATGATTCGATTGCATTCAATCAGGTCGGCAACCTTGGGTTCCGGAAAGCACTGCTGCAATAGACAAACTCGTCCAGCCAAATCACATCTCGTCTCCTTGGCTAGCCAGGAGAGTACCCCTAGCTGGCTTCTTAGCTGTTCCACTTCGTCGGGCCGGCACTTTGAGAATCTTTGCTGCTTTCTTTTCCGGGAGATGACAATCTTCTCGGCCTTCTCCTTGACGTAGAAGGCCTGGTCAATCTGCAGAGAGCCGTCGGCCTCCTTGCGGATATCCTTCCCGGTGAACCGACCGGAACCTTTCTGGTTCTTGCCCAGCTTGTACTCTGTGGCGATCTGCTGGATGTTGCTCCAATGCTGAGCACCTCCACCGTGCAACATGTCATCTGTCGCCAGCCCAATGATGCCTTCGAGCCAGGAGTTTCCGGTGGCCGGGTCTTGTGTGTGTAAGAAAAACACACAAGGATCTGAATGGCTAGTTCGATAACCAAACTCCCGTAGACGCCGACATAGGTGCTGGTACCAGGCATAGGGTCCGTCCGTCAGGCCGTAACAGGTTTTCAGCAGCATCAGAATCTGGTCCTTATGCATTCCTGGAATTCCTTCTTTCGGCTGTTTGCAGTACAACTCTCGATTTATCTTATCCCCGGAATGAAAGGCCTGGGTGAAGTCTAGGAACCCGGGATCCCAACCCGTGCTTGCAAGCACCTGTGCCACGAAGATCACAGAGTCCCGGCTCACCTGGGGAGTCGTGCTCTCCACATCCAGCGCGGCTTCCTCGGAACAGCCCTTCATAACGTGTCTGCACTTTGCCTTGACGGGCCCATGGACCTTGTCGTCCAAGAGGAGGTTCTCAGCTTGGGCCTTTGCGACATCGTTCGGCTCGAGGGGCTTCTTAGTCAGGACATACCTGGACTCCATGACCTTCTCGGGCTTCCGCTGCAGGATGTCCTGGGACTCCTTGAGGGAGAGAATCTTGTAGGCGCCGGTCCCCAGGTTATTATTGATCTCCTTCAGGATGGCCCGCTCCAACCTCTCTTGATCCTTTCCAGTAAAGTCCTGGGCTCGGGCTTCCTTCTTTTGCCGTTGTTTGGCGAGGGTTGTCAAGTTCATGTGGTAGGCTTCCAGCATCTCCGCCCGGCTTCGTTTGCCCGATGGTTCTTCTGGGTTCTCAATCTCTCGCTTGTGCTCGCCGGTTCGTACAGGTAGTCCGGGTGGAGGATGTAGAACCAGGTCACCGTCTTCATCGACATTAGGTTCCGGAGCTTCAGCATGTGAACCGAGAATGGTGTCCTCCATGCGAGCTCCGTAGCCTTCGTCTAGTGATGGAGCATCAGACCGCAGTGGTTCACGACTGTAGTTGTTGGTCTTGGCCCGCACTCGTCGGATAGGAGGTTGCCATGATTCGCTGGCCTCGGCCTGGGGCATCGCCTCGTCCTCTTGCTCCTGGTCCACAGGGTCCTGGTCCTTGGTGAGGTCCACGAAGTTTCGTCGTAGTTTTCCGTCGAACAGACCGCGGGCCTGGGAAAGCCCGCGCGTCCACCCTGAGAGGGATAGTGCTTCCTCCTCAGTGGCCGGCCTGGTTCGCTCCGGGGCGGCCTTGACCAAACTTCCTTGATAAGCAATCCAGACGGCATTTGGCAAGGAGGTCATCACAACCCTTCCAGGTCCTTGCCAGTAGGATGTCCGGGTCTTCTTGTGGGTGCCTGCACCCCGCCGCCAGAAGTAGATCGCCTGGCCGACCTCAATATTTTGGTGTTGCCTTCGGCCTGCCAGGGTAGCCGCCCGGAGGGCCTGGTCACAATCCGCCTCGTGGAACGCCATCGCCGCGGCCTTCCTCATTCTCATCGCCTTGTTGGCGTCCGTATCGCCAACATGTTGCAGTTCCGCCACCATCTCATCTTGTTCGCCACCTTGAAGAAGTCCTCCTGGGATCCTGGGGCTGTAGCCGATGACTCTTTGTATTGGAGAATATCCTCCTCTGAGAAGGAGCCTATTCCGGGTCATGCAAGTGACATCCACCAGCTCCTTCCACTCGGTAAAGGTTGTGCAGCCGTAGGTTGCCATGGCCTTGTAGAGGATATCCTTGAACACGCCGCCGGCCCGTTCAGTGAGTCCTCGTTGGGTAGGCGTCTCCAATGGTCCCGGAACTAGCTCTGAACCGTCTTCTTCTGCTTGCTTGCGGAACTCCGCCTTGAACTCTCCGCCCAAGTCGATCATGAGCTTCCGTGGAGGCCCGAAGAATCGGACCCATTGTCTGTAGGCCTTTCTGGTTTCGACAGCTGTCTCAGCCGCCATCGGCACAACCAACTGGAAGTGGGAGTGCCAGTCGATCATGTTCAAGGCGGGAACGGCCTGGTTCTTGTGGCTCCGAAGGTGCACAGTGTCAACGCCAACCAAGTCGTTAATGAAGAGGTCTTCTCGAGGAGGGGCTCCTTGTCGAATAGGAGCTGGCACCTTGTAGGCCTCGCACACGGAGCACCGAAGGTTCTTCGCAATCTCGATGGCCTCGGGGTCTGCATGGCTGTGCCGAAGAATCCGCACGAATCTTCCGTTCTCTGGGTGACCAAGGCCTTCGTGTGCTCGTCGGACCATGCGTTCCAGAGTGACCTTGCTCATTCCCGGGAAGTGGTTCATCCGCTTATCCCGTCTTCCATCCAAACGCTTGCGGTAGATGACGACCACGAGAAAGGGTCCTCTCGGGTTGATGTAGTTCTTGCCACCGAACCTCGTCCTCCAAGCAACTCCAGTTGCCTCCGGTGTCGCGGCTCCAGCTCGATCTCCAGGGAAAATTTCTATGTTCCTCCTCCTCGGTTGGAACCGGAAGGCGGTCCGTTTGGAACTTGACCGCTGCGACCATGCCCTCTTCCAGAGGATGAACGCCCTCGGTCTGGAGAATCTCGGCGGTGATGCCGTAGTTCCCATCGGCGTCCTCGTCCTCTTCCTGATGAAGGATCTCCTTGAGGTCGTGGGGCACGGTCTCCTGATAGGTCATCGCGTTGAGCTCGGTCACCGTAAAATAGACACCATCGTGTTGTCTATCTTCTTCCAGGACCTGCATTGCCTTCACGATCGTCATTTGTCCTGTTGCCTTTCCGCGTATCTTGGCATAGGCCTGAACCACCAGCTCGATACCCTCACATGTCTTCACCATCTTGTGGTCGAGTCGTTTGGCTAGACTGGCTCTGTTCACAACCAAGGTAGTCGGACGCTGACTCTTGTCCAAAGACCTGTGGACCTGGTGTCCAATTGACCCTCCATCGCGTCCTTGATCGTGTTCGTCTCGCCCTCCATCGCGTTCTTGATCGTGTCCGTCTCGCCATCCATTCACCTCGGCATTCCACGTTTCAACATTCTCCTTGAGACGTCGAGTTTCTTGCTCTTGCCAGCCGCCTCGTTTCCATGGCTCCTCGGCCACGAAGACCGCGCCATATGTAGAACAGGTTTCGATAACCTTCTTGGAAAAACGCATCAGGACCCTGTGGTCTTGTTGTTGGTGAATATAGTCCTTGAGCTCTTGAAGATGTTGTTGCTTGAAGTAATCTAGGGGTCTGCCTGTTCTGAACCAAGTGGCCTCGGGCTGTCGGATGATCACCAGTCCGGGTCGCGCATGCCTCAAGTAAGTCAGGATTGAGTGCTGCGCAGAACTGAGCAAGACGGCGGACTCTAAATCGATCACTAGGATCCTGTCATGGACGGGCTGCTGGAGCTTAACCTGCTGATGAACACTCGGTGCTTGTTCAAGGGTGTTCTGTTGGCTAAGGTTAAAGATCTCGGCATACACTTTGCGCTTCTGCTTGCTAAAACCCTTCTTGTAGTCGGAGGCGGCCCGATCTTTTAGCTCTCGAAGATGCTTCCGTCCGTTGATCAGACAATTCTGCAGATCGGTCCAGACCTGCTCTGCCCTCTTGAGGCTTGCCATCATATGTCGCTGCCCGCTGACCGACAGTCTCACTTCCGGCGGCTCTGGGCTGACTCCGCCGCCTTCTTTGCCTCCATGAACCGCTTGAACTCCTGGTACTCGGCGTAGGTCTCGTCCAGCACGGGTATCGTGTCTTCCGGAGTCCCAGCGCTGCTGGATTTCTTGGACTTGGTGTCCCGGTTGGAACTGCTGGCCGACACGTGGGAGCTCGCTGAGGCTGGCTTGTCCGCCCTCGCTCCGAACAGGTTGTTGGAGAGTGGTGTCCCGGGCATCGCTGATGGCTTCGGAGTAGACGTCGAGGAAGTCGGAGGGGTTGGCGGCAACTCCTTCGGCGTAGGTGGCACCATATTCTTCTTGGCGTAGTACTCCCGAGCTTTGCTTGTGGGCCTCCGTGTCACCATCTTTCCGCACTGAGTGCATCGAATCTGGGTCACCCACGCATTCGATCCCGTGCCCACCAGCCTCGGGTTCTTGCAGCCGCACGGCTCGTCCACCAGGAGGGAGTCGTTGACCTCGTTGGGCGTCCTCGGCATGGATCCCGGAGACGCCGCCTCCCGGGAATCGAGGGTCGGGGCCGGAGAGCTCGGTGGGGTAGATCTCCGCGCCGTCGGTGGTGGAGGTCCGGCCCTCTGATTCATCCACATGTCCTGGTGGCAATCGGCTTCCCACTGGAAAAACTCGCATCGATTCCCCACATCGGCGAATCGGGGACACCGCCAGAAGAGCCGATGTAGGTTGGGACCCCGCTTCTTGGTCCGGAGCAGGATCGCCTCCAGGTTGCAGTAGCAAAGGAGGACCTTCGGGTTCGCGAACTCGTCGGTGGACATCCCGGTCTCGGTGTCCGACTCTTCGGCTTGCCGCTTCAATGGGCTCAGAGTTGGAGCCGGCTCCACCACGGACCAGTCCTCCTCCTGGTACTGGGCCGCGGTCATGGCGCTCTTGATCATCTCGTGGGCTTCCTGCAGCTCGTCGGGGCTCATGCCACGGATGGTTTCCACCATCCGGTTCTGTGCCTTCTTCTTGTCGGGTTGGAGGCCAAGATGATTCTCCACCATCTGGTAGACTCTGTTGGCCATGATGGTGAAGATGCGCAGCACCATGCGCCGCCAATGGAACTGTCGCCGATATCGTTTCTCCTCCTCGGTCACGGACTTCTGGCGCTTGTTGCTCGACGGCATGTTTCCGAGGAGGGTCGCAAAGGCCTGGGGGAGCACTAAGGTTCTTCGCCGAGAGATTGGGCCGAACACTGCCATCATGCAATGGATCTTCCTGGTCAGGTTCCTCGGCCTTCAACAGATTGGCTTCCAACTTTGGCTCCCGAAGGTTATCAAGGGCACTGCGGAGATGTTTAAGCATCTTCTCATCAAACTGGTCAAGTGGAACCCGTAGGGCCCCGGTGGGCCCGATGTGGAGTGGAATCTCATGGTTGAACCTGCGTAGCTTCATACGTAGTCCACGTTGAGGATCTAAATCTAGTTGGGCTCGACAAAACAACAGAAAGGGCAGTGAGATCAGGAAGGGCGCCTTACTGCTTTGTCCGTCCTCAAAGACTGCAGGCCTCAATATGCAGCCACCTGGGCCTAGACTGGCTGGAAGACAAGCCACCCTCTGGGTTCTTGAGAGACCATTGACGGACTTGAAGACATGTTCCTCGGGCTTGTAGCATGGTTGTACACCTTGCGGATATCGGGATATCATCCTATCTAAGGTCTCCTTCCCAATAGCAGTCCGTTGGCAGCCTGTGTCTATGGTAGCACATGAGTCTTCATCAACCTGCGCACTGTCATTGACATACATCAACTCATGAGGTAGGCCTAATGCGGAACACATGTATGCGGACTCGCCATTCTCAGGTCCAGGTCGGGCAGTCGGCCTACTCAAAATGTCGCTTGACGAGGCTGCTGTACTTTTGGCAGCTGTCTGAGCGAACTGCGACCTGCTAGACTGGTAATCGACGAAGTCAAGGTAATGCAAGAAGAGGGCCTCCTCGGACTCGTTCTCGACGTAGTAGTTCTCCTTCGGCTTAGCCGGGTTTGGGCACTCCTTGTGCCAATGTCCGATCTGATGGCATCTCGCACATCGGGTTTTCTTCTTCAAGGCCTCGATCGAGATCTTATAGGATTGTCCGGTCCGGACATGGTCAGACCCCTTTCCAGACCCAGCACCCTTGGAAGTTCCGAAACGTCCACTGGGGTCTCGGTGGGCTCCATAGCCTCTGGCCAATCCTTTGGCCCGCTTGGCGTCATTCACCGCCTTGAAGGATCTCCTGAACCCTCCCTTGGAGTGCTCTCTGACCATGGTCGCGAGGATCTCCTTGGCCTCGTCTTCGTCAAACACGTCCGTCGTGGCGACCGACTCGCCGTCCGCATTCTCATCCAGTTCCCCGAGGGCACTCAGGAGAACCTCGACATTCTCCTCGTCCGCCGGCTCGGTTTCCGGGCTCTCCTTGGGAAACTCCGAGGCCTCGTCCATCATCATGATCGACTCGGCCTTCCTCGGCTTCTGTTGGGAAGCGCTCCATGCTAGGTCAGCTTCCTGTACGCGGATCCATTCTTTCACGGCCTTCTGCGTCAGCTTGCCCTGGGTGTAGTTCATCATGAGTTTCACTTCGTCCGGGGCAACTTGTAAGGCCATAACCAGAAGGAATCCCAAGTACTCCTGGGGAAGCTCCACCTTGTGCTCGCTCAACCTGCGAACAGCATTGTCCCACCTGGCGAAGAAGGCCTTGTAAGCTTCGCCACGGGATCTCCTTAAAGTGTACGTCACCTTGACCAGGGTGTTGATCATCTCTTCGCGTTCATCCTCTCCATATAGCTCCTTAGTGTTCATCAACTTCAAAAGTCGAGCCCCGTTCTCGTCACTCTGCATCCATTCGTCGTCCTTGGCGAGATACTTCAGGTCGTCGAAGGGGGTGCCGGTGAGGCTCTTGAGGAGCATTGGGCCCCTGGCCCGTGCCTTGACCTTGGTGGTCGCCAACCATAGCTTCGCTCTGACCTCATAGTCCCGGAAGGAGGTCGTACCATCCCACTGTGGTGGAGGTCCGGCATTGCTTCTCCCGGTGCCACCGCCATCATCATCATCTCCTTCTTCTTCGTCATGACGTGGCCGCCGAACAGGAGGTCGTTGTGTTGCACGCCGTCTTCGCAAGAACTCCTCGAAGGCGTCCATGTCGTCCGGTCCAGGTCGGCCTCTCCTGGCAGGGCTAAATCCGGGAGGAGGCGTCTCCAGTGTCTGGCCAGCTGTGTAGGCTGCCCAGGGATCCGGAGGCGGCTCTTGAAGGTCCTCCTCATCTCCCACGGGAACAGGTGTCTGAGCGCTGTCTTGGGTCGCTTCAGCGGAGGCACTTGCCATGCTCACTGCGATCAGGGCTCAAAGTTCAGACCATGCACGTTTTCACAACAGCAACAGGTCCACGGAACTTTCAGGAGCTCCGCTACCACTGTCGACGAAATCGACAGTGGCAGGTCACAACTGCATAACTCATGTGCTCTTTCCCGCTTGAGCCATGGATGTCAGATCCCCATGTTTTGGGAAAAGTGGTGTTACCAGAACTGCACAACGGAATTCACACTAGGGTTGAGGGTTTAGTTTAGGGCTCCTTTTTGCGTGGTTCCTGTAAGGCCCAGAGAGGGCTTTACGCAGGGTCGGTAGCGCCAATGCAAGCACCGAGAATTGAAGACTGAAGGTCTTCAATCCCCGAGGTTAGTCGTAGTGACGGAAGCTGATACCAGAGTTTGCAGTCATACCTAGGTTTGGGGTTTAGGGTTTAGGATTTAAGGTTACACTTGAAGCTGCACGTGAGACAAGCAAGTTGGTGACATCATTGTCCCACTCGCTACTCTTCGGGCGACTGCCGCTGTTGCTGTCCATGCCTACTGCACGATTGCTGCTGCAACACATTGCAACACCGCCACCAACAGCAGCAACAACAGTTGCAGCAACAACAACAATGACTATTACTACTTCTGCTACTGCTACCCCACCACCACCGATACTGCTACGACGACGACGACCACTGCTTCTACTACTACTGCTGCGCGATGACTACCACTACCACTACCACTACTAGGTCACTACAAGCACTGTCCCCGGATCTCGCCAGGAGTTACGGTCTGATGCTTCATGCTGGTTGCAGCAGCTGAGCCGCTGGCGTTGGGCTTTAGGGCTTTAGGGCTTTAGGGCTTTAGGGCTTTAGGGCTTAGGGCTTTTGGGTTTTGGACGTGACGTTGGTTTGGGCCTAGGAGGGGGGAGTTTACAGGCTTGTTCTAGGATGTAGGGCTGAAGGGGCTTAAGGTTCATAGTCTGGGGCTCAGAGTTTGGGGTTTCTGCAGCAAAGAGACGCAGCACCTTAACCCTCCGTGCCCCTGGCGCGTAACCCTACACCCCAGGCCCTGGAACCCATTCAGACGAACAGAGAAGCCTGAAAATATCGCCGAAAGCCTTCGTCTCATTATCAAGGACCCAGCATAAACGACTCGTGGCATAGCTTGGCTTGAATGCGATGTGCACGTTTATCGCCGGTCCAGAAACATGGACGTGTTGCACAGCCATCGACTGCTGAAGACCGGCAGAGTTGGCTAAGGAGTTTCTGCAAACGTACCTTTAAACCCTAAACTAAACCTGAAACCCTAAACAAACCCTAAATTCTAAACCCTAAACCCTAAACTCGAAGCCCTAAACCCTAGACCCTAAACTCTAAACCCTAAACCCTCAACCCTAAGCCCTAAACCTACACCCCGAACTTTGAGGCCTCGTGCCCCCTAAGACAGTCGACGGAAGTCCCAAGCAGTTACGGAAAGTTGAAAGCTCGACACTCTAGCCTGAGTTCTTGTTAAGGGTTTAACGTTTAGGGTTTAGGGTTCAGGGTACCATGATATATAGGGATCTATAGTAAATGCTATCGCTGCCTTATTATGGTAACTTAGATCAAATCCCCTTAACAAGAACCCAGTAGCTGCTCCCTTTTTGAGCTAGAGGAGCGGAGGTTTTCTTTCCATGTCTGCAGCTACCCTCAATCCTTAACCCTAAACCCTACACCCCTAAACCCTAAACCCTAAACCCTAAACCCTAAACCGTTTGCAGAAGTTCCGATCAGTAGCTCTCACAGCTCGTGGCGAGAAATGTTGCGCAGGTTTAGGGTCTAGGGTTACCCTAAACCCAAAGCTCTAAACGCTAAAACCCAGAACTCTGAACTCCTAAGGCCCGATCCTAGACCTCCAAACTCAAAGCCCTAAAAGCTCCAAGAAAGGGCCATGTGTCAGTACTTTTCATTTTCTTTCCAAAAGCTGTACACCCTAAACCCGGGCGGAATTTTTCAGAAATACGTTCCTTGACTTTGACCCTGCATCTCATTCATCTAGGGGTTTCAGGGTTTACTGTTTAGGGTTTAGGGTTTTAGGGGTTTAGGGTTTAGGGCTAGGGTTTTACAACCGTTAATTTCGCAATCTTCCTGAAGATACAGCGGCCCCTAGCTAACATGATTTAAAGGTATCTTGCCTGGTGCCTACCCGAATTCAAGGGGTGTGTTTTTTTTGGGCTGTTTTTACACTGAGATCACGGCTTTTGTCTATTTGCTCGCAATTGCTCTCTTCGCTCCCACTCTTCAAGCAACAGGCCCTGTAGCATGTTCTGCATGCACATTCAGGTGTCACGGAGGAAAGGCCAACCTAGACCAGTAACATGACTGAGACACCGCATGGCCCAAGACCGTCAACCCTAAACTCTCGACCCCAGGCTTAAACCCTCATGAACATAAACCCAACCCTAGCCGACCCTACAGCACATCCTGCCCCGAGCCCTAAACAGCAGCCCAGCGCAACCGAGCGGCAAGGATGCTCAGGCACTGCGGGGCTTCCAGGGCTTTCCTTAGGGCTTGAGGTGTACCTGAACCTACCAAAACCTACTTTTTTTGGCAGGTTCTGAGAATAGACTCCAATATGCAATTTATAGGGATCCTACAAAAGAGTAGGTTATGATAGGTTAAGGTAGGGTTGAGGGTTTGCAAGCAGGCTTGCTACAAGGATTTCTACAGGGTTTAAGGTTTAGGGCTTGGGGCTCGCAGGTGTGTATGATAATGTTGAAGGCTCGCAGGGCTTCTAGCGTCCGTAAGACTGCTGGGCGTAAGATAGAGGCCTAAATAATTAGCAATACTATTTTGGGTGGTTCCTTATAATAATGAAAATATATAACATACCGCAGAACCCTATTCTAACTACTAAGGCCTCTATATTACAGTGATCTTGCTTGTGTCAGGGCGGTAGGGTTTGCGTGGATTCGAAGCTTCAGGTTTCCAGGTTGGGGTGTGGGGTTATGGGACGGTAAGTCAGGGGTCTGTAGTGGTGTCTATATAGTTGCACTGTAGTTTACGGTTTATAGGGCTTAGGGTTTAGGGTATACCCCTACCCCACTCTACTGATTCAGGGCCCTGATTTTTACTTGTACTTCCTGACACGCAACGATGTTGTGTTTAGCCAGGGGTGGATTCGTTTTGGGAAGAGCCAGCCTACAGTCTTCTCTAAGAGTTCCTTCACGGGTTCTAAAGAGGGTACGAAAACGTTTAGGGTTCAGGGTTTATTATAGTCTCCGTACAAGAAGGTAGCCAAAAACGGAGCTAAACAACGATACTATAACCCTACCTAAGCCACTAAAATGTAGGTACTTTCATGGCCCAACACCAAAACAAGGCTATTATCCATACTGTTGGGGTCCGAGTCCGCGTAAGCCCCGAGACCAGGAGGACCTGCAACAACGGAGACCTGCTGTAGCCAAGGCGGAACCCCGCCAAACGCCCGGATTCTCCTTGAGAACTACCTTCATTTAACCTAAAATGACCTGCTTGTTTGTAGGGTCTTGTTAAAAGCCCTATATAGATTCTCTATAAGAGCCCAGCGAAAAAGTAGGTATGGTTGTTCAAGGTACAAAGCACCGCAGACGGCTAGATCGAGGTAAACACGTCTTAGGGGCAGCCCCTATGACACACTGGCCAAAAGGGTTTAGGATTTAGAGAAATTTAGAGGTTAGGCGTTAACCCCCAAACCCTAAACCCTAAACCTCTACACTTCCTGTACGGGGATCTCTAGCTCTGCGAGTTGGAAAAGAGGCGCTCAAAAAACAAAAACCTCTACACCTCTAAACAGCTCTAAACCCTTGAGGTGAAGCATGGAACCTAAACCCTAAACCCTAAGCCCTAGACCTCTA